GAGGAAGGGAGAGAGATAGAGAGTCAGAAACATCGATGAGAGAGAAACATCGATCAGCTGCCTCCTGCACACCTCCTACTGGGGATGTGCCCGCAACCAAGGTACATGCCCTTGACCGAAATCGAACCTGGGACCTTTGAGTCTGCAGGCCAATGCTCTATCCACTGAGCCAAACCTGTTACGACAACAGGAATTTTTAAAACATGCAGTGCCTGGCTATAATAACCTAGAAGTAGTGTATGATATATTGTTTTTAGAATATTATATCCCCAAAAGACGGAATTTCATAATCCACTGAACCTCTTGGATTCTGATAACTTTATATTAGAGAAGGCATTCAAATATACAATGAGTAGGTCAACTAAGTGATTTTGTGAGTCCTACTTTGAGATTCAAACATTTATTGAATGTACTGTTTTCCTATTACCACACTTTACTTAGTTATTTAGTTTGCCCAAGATAGATGTGGGAATCTCTGCCTTTCAACATTCCCAGTCAAGATAGGGAAGAGTCTATGATGGTAGCAATATATAATGAACTTATTTTTCTTCTTTTTGGTAAACTTTTCAGATGGTAAATCTGCAACAACATTGGAAGACATTCTTATTTTTGCAACTGGTTGCAATTCCATTCCACCTGCTGGATTTAAACCCACTCCTTCAGTTGAGTGCCTTCATATGGATTTTCCTGTTGGAAACAAGTGTAATAACTGTCTAGCTCTTCCAATTACCAGTACATATAAAGAATTTCAAGAAAAAATGGACTTTTCCATAAGAAACACTTTAAGACTAGAAAAAGAAGAAAGCTCTCACTACATTGGACATTAAGATGTTTTGAACAAAGAGATGCTTCTTTAAAGCTGCTATTGATATTTTTGTTTCAGAAATCTGTCCATTATCAAACAAACTTGTCAGCTTCTTGGTCCAATAAAATTATGATGTGAATATTAAGGAATGTTTTGGCCATTTAAACTAAAAATTTTTGTTAAGGTATACCATTTAAAGTTGATGATGTTTTTCTATTTTGTTAGTATACATGCTTTATAATGTTCAATATAAATTTTTTTAGAATGGCTGTTAGACTTTCTTCAAGCATAGTAGCATGGTATATATAAGAAAAAAACTTGTACTCACAATTTTTGTAAATTTGGATTAGCTATAGGATGCCACATTTCAAATTATTATTTTATTTTAAAGCATTAAATGGAAAAGCTAATGGATAAATTCTGTTATATAAATCAAAGGCACATATTCTGGGGTATGTGTGACATATATCCTTTTCTAGGATGGCACTAAATTGGTTGTTAAAAATGTTTTTTTTAGATTACTGATTATATTAAAATAGACCCACACTGCAATTAGATTATGCCTAAGGAAGTATGTATTACAGAAAAAGCGGAATTGCACAAATATTCTATAATCTATGGACATTCCATAGTCTTAAAAATACTCCTGAGGTGGATAAAAATATATTAAAAAGTGTATTCTTTAAAGCCTTGGCTTTAATCATAGGAGTTTTTCCCCATGTTAGATCCATACTCATTTCAGGTATCTGAATGATATCTGTGGGTTGTCATATGGTGGTTTGGCTATTTGACAGGTATTTATTTTTAAGATGATAGTATGCTAGGTAAGCTCACACCATTGCTTTACTGCTATTTTTTTTTGCTCTTGAAAGGTATCTGTTATTTTATAGGTAATGTAGAAATATGTAAGAAAGAAATACAAATAGAATGGAAAACCCACTCTAATCTCACCATGCAGAATTAACTGATGTGTTTCCGTCTTTCCTTCTACAAACTCTTTTGTTCCATTTACTAAAAGTAACAAGAAACTATGTAATAACAATTTGAAGTTTATGTCCCCATCCATAGTCATGTCACCATAATTATATACACTTTCACAAAAGAAGAAATTGGAAAAGTCTAATTTCTATAATGTTATCAAATATAAATGGGTTTTCCACCAAAGTAAATCATATGAGAGGTAAATTGCTTAGTTGCAACCACATTTTTCTTCTTTAAAAATATTGATTTCAGGGAGGAATGGAGAGGGAGAGAGAGAGATAGAAACATCAATGATGAGAATCATTGATCAGCTGCCTCCTGCACTCCCCCTACTGGGGATTGAGCCGGCAACCCTGGCATGTGTCCTTGACTAGAATCGAACCCAGGACCCTTCAGTCCGCAGACTAATGCTTTATCTGCGGAGCCAAACTGTCTAGGGACACATTTGTCCTGATACACAAAATAGGTGTCAGCTATCATCATATTCTCATTTTCCCTGAGAAACATCCCTAAGTTATTGATTTTTGTTGTTGTTAATCCTCACCTGAGGATATTTTTTACATTGATTTTTTTAGAGAGAGTGGGAGGGAGGGAGAAGGGGAAAGAGAGAAAAAGAAACATTGATGTGAGAAAGAGACATTGATTGGTTGCCACCTGCACATGCCTCAGCCAGCCAGGGATTGAAGCTGAGACCCTTCCATGCTTGGGCCAGTGCTCTAACCATTGAGCATGCCAGCCAGGGCAGTTATTGATATTTTTAAAGAAAAATAAAGGGATTGATTTGATATTGGTAATATATCTCTTAATACCAAAAGAAAACTAAAGCATAGTCTTAGTGTACTTTTCTTTGTTATACTTACTAACAGACCCAGCAAATTAAAGTTTCACTTTCATTTAAAATGTTTAAGAACATTAAGGTATTTCTTTGTCTTTTGTTAAATTTTTAGATTATTGAAAGTAATTAAAAGGACCTATTATTAAAAAAGGGTTTGAATATCTAATATAAACCTCAAACTTGCCATATAGCTTTTATTTAAAATGTTTTGATAGATTGGCTACTTCATTCTTTAATCTACCCAGTTTTATGAACTTTAAAAAGCCTCTAAAGCCCTGACTGGTTTGGCTCGGTGGATAGAGCGTCGGCCTGCAGACTGAAGGGTCCCAGGTTCGATTCCAGTCGAGGGCCTGTACCTCAGTTGTGGGCACATCCCCAGTAGGGGGTGTGCAGGAGGCAGCTGATGGATGTTTCTCTCTCATCAATGTTTCTAGCTCTCTATCCCTCTCCCTTCCTCTCTATAAAAAACCAATAAAATATATTTAAAAAAAATAAAACTCAAAAAAATCTTTTTAAAAAAGCCACTAAAACAGTACAAAATCTAAATAAATTTCTGGTTATTTGTAGTTTTAATTAATTTCCCCTCCAGCAGTAATTTAGCTGATGATTACTGTCACTTTTTAGGTGGGGAGGGATGGGAGAGGAGAAGGGCGCTTGGTTTGGCTACAGTTAAAAACATTATGGTATTTCAATTCCTCCTTTCACTGATTTTATGTGTAGACAAGGCCTTCGGGATAAGGTGGTATAAATAATCATAGGATAGGCACAGTTTATACTGAAGCATAAGTATTCATATTGAAAAATGTTTTCTGCATGCCATTTAACGATGTCACAGTATGATGTTTTAAAGATTAATCTGTTTAATCAGGGCATATCAGAGAAACTTGTAGATTGTTTTCTGCAGTGTTACAATGTCAAGTGGTATTACGGTTTTTTTTCTATTGTTATAGCCAGTGCACAATTCTTACTAATGTTGATTTTAAAAAGGAATAATGCTATAATCCCTTGTAAATATGTGTATGTCTTAAATATCTTAAACTAAATGCCATATATTTCAAGCTTGTTTCCTATTCTCAATGTCAAGGAAAATCAAACATTTGCCTATTATGCATCTACTTTTAATGGTCTTTGGTTGGTTTTATATTCATTGTTTTAAAAGCTTTACACTTTTTGGTGTGAGAACTTCATTTGAAAGTCTTTTACATAATTATCTACAATTATACTTGGTTTTTTTAAGGTAAATATTCTTTAAAATATCAGAAACTAGCTTATGATTTTATATTTTGTCATATTTAATTCCTATTTTATGAATAAGCCATTCTCTGTTTGGGTCAAGTAAAAAGCCTTCATTTGATTACTAACTTGAGAAATAAATCATTTTGGCTTCTGCTTTATATCAAAACTTTCAATAATTTTTTTCCCTAATTATGTGGAAGCTAGTGTAACTTTTGTACTCAAAACTAAATTCTAAGGGGAGTATAATAGTTAAATTTTTCAGTGACTGCCTATAGGAGTGATTATTATTAGAACGAGATTCTATTTATAAATCTGTAATCTTTATGTAGTGATTATCACCTGCTTCATTGTTACTTTTACAGTAAGCTATTAAACTAGTTTTTATGCTTCAAATAATGCAATACAAATCATAAGAACACACTGAATGATGGATTGCTTGATTGTATATTACATGTAGTTTAGGAATATTTGGGTTGCTTTGAAGTAACCCAGTTTTAAGTTCTCATTTTGACTTTTTCAATTGCCAAACATATTCCAATACCTACTGTATGTGAACAGGTATTGTGCTAAGTGTTATTTTGTGTCAGTCTATTTCTCCCTTTTTTTAAAAAAAATATATTTTATTGATTTTTCACAGAGAGGAAGGGAGAGGGATAGAGAGCTAGAAACATCAATGAGAGAGAAACACTGATCAGCTGCCTCCTGCACACCCCCAGTGGGGATGTGCCCGCAACCCAGGCACATGCCCCTGACTGGAATCGAACCCGGGACCCTTGAGTCCACAGGCCGACGCTCTGTCCACTGAGCCAAACCGGTTAGGGCTATTTCTCCCTTTTTTTGAACACATCAGATGTAGCCAAAAAACATGACACTTAAGTGAAGTTTTTTAAATAAATGTGTTTATGCCACTAAAAGTGAAGTGCTTATATAAACTCAACTTGTCAGAATTTAACAAGATTAAGTTTCCAAAATTATTAAGTAGATAGAAGATTCCACATGTGAGAGATCCTGCAGTTGGCTTATGCCTAGTAAACTCTTAAATGAGCTGTTCTGAGATAGTCTATGTTAAAACTGTCCCCTGATGGCCTATTAAGCGTGGCTTAGTGGTTGCCCTATGAACCTGGAGTTCAAGGTTCGATTCCTGGTCAGGGCACATGCCCCAGTTGCAGGCTCTATCCCCAGTACAGAGCGTGTAGGAGGCAGACAATGATTCTCCCTCTCCCTTTTTCTCTGAACCCAACTAAAAATATATTTAAAAAACTATCCCCTAATAAAAAATTACAGTTTGCCAGAACAAATTATTTAAAGCAAAAATCTGGGGAGGTAGAGCTGGTTAAAGGGGTACACTACATTAGGTTAATTCTTACTCTGAAGCCTCGGTTTGATTATTTCCGGTTAGGATAATAATGTAACAAATACCTTAGTCTTAGCTTTACAGAGACTACTTGTCTACTGCCAATCATCTGTGGGGCATATTTTTTTTTAAATTTACATTATATGCACTCCTTGTTCAGGAGAGGTTTTTATCATTTTTATGTAGATACTATATATAAATGTCTAGCATTTTCTTAACTTTTTTGTTTTGTTAATTCTCATCCGAGGATCTTTTTCCATTTATTTTTAAAAATTTTATATTTTTATTGATTTCAGAGAGGAAGGGAAAGGAAGAGAGAGGTAGAAACATCAATGATGAGAGAGAATCATTGATTGGCTGCCTCCTGCACGCCCCACCCTGGGGATTGAGCCCGCAACCTGGGCATGTGCCCTTGACTGGAATCGAACCCGGGACCCTTCAGTCCACAGGCCAACGCTCTATCCACTTAGTCACACCGGCCGGGGCTTTCCATTTATTTTTTAGAGAGAATGGAAGGGAGGGGGAGAGACAGAGAAGGAAACAACTATGTGAGAGAGACACCAATTGGTTGCCTCCCACATGTGTCCATCAGGGCTAGGAATCCAGCCTGTAACCCAGGTCCATGCGGTAGTGAACCCAGGACCCTTCCTTCAGTCTGCAGGCTGACACTACTGAGCCAAACCAGCTAGGGCAGTGATTCTCAACTTGTGGGTCGCGACCCCTTTGGCGGTCGAACGACCCTTTCAAGGGGTCGCCTAAGATCATCCTGCATTTCAGATACTTACGTTACGATTCATAACTGTGGGCCGCGGTTACGGTGTTTTGGCCAGGTCCAAGCCTCGGACTAATGAAAGGACAGTGTCCTCTCATTGCCACCTGCAAGTCCAGCTGGAGGGCAGGGCCCTCCCAGCACAATTATAGCCAACAGCTGTGGTTGTAAGCTTGAACCTATGGTCCAAACACGTAGCCCCACGTGCCTTATGATAGAGTTCAGGTGCATGTGGTTGAGTGAGGATGAAACTCACGAGAATGCTGTAAATAACTTGATCACGCCCCTACTTTGCCTCTGGCATCTGCTATAAAATAAAGACACGGCTTGTGGGCGCTGGCGCTGTCTCCTCATCAGGGAGCAGCGTCCCACCAAGACCCAGCTTTCATTCTCTTGTCCTTTCATCTCCCCCACTCAGGGTCACTGAACCAGGCTGAGCTGGCATGGCACATAAGGCCCTAGGGCTGAGTATACCATGGCCGTGCCCGCTCCCCACACATAACAGTAGCAACATAACAGTTATGAAGTAGCAACGAAAATAAGTTTATGGTTGGGTCACAACATGAACTGTATTTAAAGGGCCAGAAGGTTGAGAACCACTGGGCTAGGGCTTTTTTTTAGCATTTTAACCCTTTGCGGTCGTTTGTCTACTCTCAGCCACCAAAGCTTTTTTAACGTTCCGGTCGTAAAATGGCAAAAATAAAGTTACCGAAAGAAGCATACTGCGAATCTGAAAGTAACGATGAAGAGTTTTATTTTGGCACCTTGAATACTGACTCTGACGTAGAAAGTGATAACGTTTGTAGTGATTCTACTAGTCGTGACGTAGTTCCAAAAAAGAATAAATCTTGTTTATCCTTCATAATCTTGCATGTTCACTGCTCTTTCAATGGAAATTAATTCCAACCAGTACGACACCCATGTCCAAATTTAATATGACCGCAAAGGGTTAATGTGACATGTAGTCTTAGGGAGAAGTCTGGTGGAGCTGAAATGGTTAAATGATAAATTTGCATTTGAGATTAGAAGTACCCAAATGAACAAGATCGGGCTCTCAGATGTTGCAAGATGGGCAAGCCTGTATATTTTCTATTCCATGGACACAAAAACTGAAGTAGAACTTTCCAAAGGGCAGGAACTGTCATTTCTGTTTAAAACACATCTAGATCATTGGTGATTCCTTCAAAATATTGTGATAGCACTGGCCAGGTGACTCAGGTAGTTGGAGCTCTCCTCTGACACTGAAAGGCTGAGGGGTTTGCTTCCTGGTCAGGGCACATATTTACGTTTGGTGTTCCATCCCTGGTCGGGCACATACAGGAGGGAAGTGGTAGATGTGTCTCACATCAATATTTCTGTCTCTTCCTCCCTCTCTCCATCCCTTCTAGTCAATAAAACATATCCTCCAATGATGATAAAAATAACTATTAAAAATATTTGTGATAGCACTAAATAAAGTAGTAAATATTTCAGTTAATTTCTTAGTGACTATGCCAATTAGCTATAAAAATGAGAGATAACTTAATTCTTAAAGGTTCGTAACTTTTACCACCCTCTTCCTATGATCTCCAGTTCCCAGCCCCTGGTACATATAAGTCATACGATTCAGTAATGAACTTTCACCTTTAAGATGAATAAGGCCGGAGGACCTAATATATAACATGGTAACTGTAGTGATAACTACATTATGTAATTGAAATTTGCTTAGAGTAGAACTTAAATGTTCTCATATATATGGTGATGGATGTGATAACTAAAGGGGGGAATCCTTTCACCATATATATATGTCAATCATCATGATGTACACTTCAAATATCTTACAACTTTTGTCAATTATTCCTCCATAAAGCTGAAAAAAATAGGTGACACCAAGACATTAACTGCAAGAAAGAGATGGTTACAGAGATTCAGGAATAGTTTTGGACTGAAAAAATTACACAAGAAAAAAGAATGTAGGCTCACTTCCAAGGTGTTTCCTAGTGGTGTTTAAAATAAGATTATCTGTCTTCATTTTCATAAAAATAAACAACTTTTATTTGTGAAACAGAGAAGTTAATGTTGTGTTATAGAAATGTGCTTTTCGTGTAATTGTTAGGGTAATTTTTAACTTATTTCTCATATAAATTTGAAAGTTGTTTTCAAAGCAGATTTTGAGGCACAGGGTCTGTGATTTCATTTCAGAATGAACATGCTTCACAGCTCTTGCAATGTCATCAATGAACTCTATTGAACATATGGGAGATGAGCTGTCATATCCATTTTTACATCCAATAAAATACGGATTAAATTAGGAATTATCAATATTGGATACATTTGATCATCGCATGGCTTCAAGTGTACATTAAAACACCAGCCTTATCCTACTTACCCACTCTCCCCCAAAGAAATGGTTTGTGATTTTGCAGTTACCTAAGGGATGGGAGGAAATACTACTTGGCCATTTTGCACCCTTCTGGCTCCTGTGTCCACGTAAGCAAAACACCACCGTAAAACTGGACCACTGAGAAAAACATTGCTCCAAAACTGCCAGGAAAGGGGAGCCGGGAGGATACAGAAGAGGGAGCTGGCATTTAAGTGCCTCCTTTGTTGCGGGAGCTTCACTCCACGTTAGTCCCGTGGGCCTTAAACCCCGAAGTATGCTCCCAGCGAATGATGTGTAAATAACCAAGCAGTTCAGTGATTCCTGACGGTCTTAGCACTGCGCCACGCTCCCACCGTGAGTTCAGCTTCAAGCAGCTGCCACTGGAGAGGCGTGGCCGGACTAGGCAGAATAAAGGTCCCTACTGATCCGCAGCAGAAAACCTCCACAGGGGTCAGGCATCCACCCGCTTCTGGTCTCAAAGTTCTGCAGGGGTGCAGCCGTGGGAGCGTCGCCCCCATCAACTTCCTTTAGCCCCGCCCCTCCGGGTTTGCTTCCGGGGCGGTTGCGGCAGCCACGTCACCCCGGGTTCTGCTCGCCGGCCGGGCAGTGGATGGTGGGAGCCAACATGGCGGCAGCTAGTATTCGAGAGAGGCAAACAGGTACCGAGTCCTTCATTGCCTTCTCCCTGCGGTTCTGTGCCTGCGATGGGACGCCCTCTTCCTCGGCGCGTCGCCTCCCTCGGTCGCAGAGCATGGAGCTGGGAGACGGGCCTCCAGGAGTTTAATCCGGTTCCCGGAGCATCGAGAGCCCCTCCCCTTGGGAGTTTTTAGGGAAGAGATGCCGCGGGCTGGAGAGCTCGGCCCCGCTAGGGGTGCAGGAGCCGGGTTTGTGCGGGGGACCGGCTGGGGTGGTCCTTTCCTGCGGAGCCTCCGAGGCCGCCAGGACGAGCTCAGGCGGGTGGCATTTCCCCCTCGGTGTTGCCTCCGGGTTTGTTTGTGTGCGCGGTTCAGTTCTCTCCGTTTTCACGGTGAAAGTTTCGTGTTCTGGCATTCCTACCGCAGTTGAAAGACAAGTATTCTTTTCAGGGCAACTTGCGTCCGGCCGCTTCACCTTTGGACTCGGGCATTGGGGTACCCGGCGAGAAACGCCTGCTGGTTTCCCTAGCTCCGGGGAGGGGACGGAGGTGCGGGGGGAAATAGCCGTACCGAGTTAGCTGGTTCACAGATTGGTGTTTTCAGGCTGCACATGCAGTATATACAGTGAAACCGAGTGAGACAAGTATACATTTCTTCCCCTGAGCTCTGATATATTTTTCTATCTTCGATATTCTTAGTTTTGCCTTAATTTCTTAGGCAACTTGCATTTTACCTGTTAGCTACAAACTGATGGCTTATGCCTGTTAGCCAGTTGTCTTGAAAGTTCGCAAGGG